TTAAAATGTTTCCTTAAACATAGAACTGGAACTATGCATAAAGCAAAAAGTCAATTAAACATTACGAAAGAAAATATCCTTGTGCAACAGAAAACCTAACGCTATAAATACAGGTTTGTCTAGACCTGATCAACTCTCAGACGTCATGCTATAGTGATGGTATTTAACAGAACTCTGGTTTGACCTGTGTGTACCTGTGTATTGTGTCACATATCTCCAATCATAGCCATATCCCAGGCATAAAAAAATCACTGACAGAAGTTATATCTGTATGTCTGAATGGACACAGGAAAACAGTCACACAGGACTACTGAGTCGCTATGAACACTTCATTCTAGAAGATTCCGTAAAAACTATCATTTGATGTACGAGTTATAAGTAATACATGATGAGTGTGTCTCGTAAAAGAGGGTCATTTAATTCTTGCTGATTATGATTACCTTAAATCCTTTTTGTTACATTTTTAGCTCACCTGGCCCAAAGCCAAGTGAGCTTATGGCATAGTGCGGCCGTCGTCCGTCCGTCATCAACATTTTACTTTAAACAACTTCTTCTGAATAACCAAGATGCATAGGGTGCTTAAATTTAGCCTGTAAAATGCTGGGATGAAGGTCTACCAAAATGTAAGTTTGTTCAAATAAATGTCCTTGACTTATATTCGAGGGCACAGGGGTCAAATATGTTTAAAACCTTTCCACAACTTCTTCTGAATAACCGATGGGCCTAGGGGGATGATATATGGCCAGAAGCATGCTGGGATGAAGGGCTAGCAAGTTTGTTCAAATGAATGACCTTGACCCACTTTCAACGTAATGTCATTGTTTGACATTCAAGGTCACACTGATATTCTGCCTGTAGCTGTATTTTAGTCATTGTGTCACATATCTCCAATCATAGCCAAATCCCAGGCATAAAAAAATCACTGACAGAAGTTATATATGTATGTCTGAATGGACACAGGAAAACACTCACACAGGACTACTGAGTCGCTATGAACACTTCATTCTAGAAGATTCCGTAAAAACTATCATTTCATGTACGAGTTATAAGTAATACATGATGAGTGTGTCTCGTAAAAGAGGGTCATTTAATTCTTGCTGATTATGATTACCTTAAATCCTTTTGTTACATTTTTAGCTCACCTGGCCCAAAGCCAAGTGAGCTTATGGCATAGGGCGGCCGTCGTCCGTCCGTCATCAACATTTTACTTTAAACAACTTCTTCTCAGAAACCAAAAGGCCTAGGGTGATGATATTTGGCCAGAAGCATGCTGGTATGAAGGTCTACCAAAATGTAAGTTTGTTCAAATAAATGACCTTCATCCATTTTCAAGGTCACAGGGATCAAATATGGTAAATTCTTTAAACAACTTCTTCTGAATAACCAAGAGGCATAGGGTGCTTAAATTTAGCCAGTAACATGCTGGGATGAAGGGCTACCAAGTTTGTTTAAATAAATGACCTTGTTTTATATTTAAGGTCACAGGGGTCATATATGTTTAAAACCTTTAAACAACTTCTTATGAATAACCAAGAGGCCTAGGGTGCCTAAATTTGGCCAGTAACATGCAGGGATAAAGGGCTACCAAGTTTGTTTAAATAAATGACCTTGGTTGAAATTCAAGGTCACAGGGGTCAAATATGTGTAATACCTGTCAACACTTTCTTCTGAATAACCAATAGGCCTTGGGTGCATAAATTTGCCCAGTAACATGCTGGGATAAATGGCTACCAAGTTTGTTCAAATAAATGACCTTGATTTATATTCAAGGTCACAGGGGTCAAATATGTTTAAAACCTTTAAACAACTTCTTCTGAATAATCGAGAGGCCTAGGGTGATGATATTTGTCCAGTAACATGCTAGGTTGAAGAGCTACCAGGTTTGTTCAAATACATGACCTTGACTTATATTCAAGGTCACAGGGGTCAGATATGTTTAAAACATTTAAACAACTTCTTCTGAATAACCAAGAGGCCTAAGGTGATGATATTTGGCCAGCAGCATGCTGGGATGAAGGGCTACCAAGTTTGTTCAAATAAATGACCTTCATCCATTTTCAAGTTCACAGGGGTCAAATATATTTTAAAACCTTTAAACAACTTCTTCTGAATAACCTAAATGCCCAGTGTACTAATATTTGGCCTGTAGCAATGAGGGCTACCAAATTTGTTCAAATGAATGACCTTGACCCACTTTCAACGTAATGTCATTGTTTGACATTCAAGGTCACACTGATATTCTGCCTGTAGCTATATTTTAGTCCACTTTTAAGATTACAAGTGTGAGATCAAAACCAGGTGAGCGATGCAGGCCCATTGGGCCTCTTGTTTAAATCACCTGGCCCGAAGGGCCAAGTGAACTTATGGCATGGTGCGGCGTCCAGCGTCCGGCCAGCCAGCTGGCCAGCGTCAACTTTTACTTTAAACAACTTCTTCTCAATAACCAAGAGGCCCAGGCTGATGATATTTGGTCAGTAGCATGCTGGGATGAAAGGCTACCAAGTTCAAATGAATGACCTTGACCCACTTTCAAGGTCACAGGGGTCAAATATGTTAAAATCTTCAAACAACTTCTTCTCAATAACCGAAAGGTCCATGGTACTGATATTGATCCTGTAGCATGCTGGGATGAAGGGCTATCAAGTTTGTTCAAATGAATGACCTTGGCAAACTTTCAAGTTCACAGGGCTCAATGTCTTAAAGTCTTCAAAATTCTTCTTCTCAATAACCAAAAGGCTGAGGGTACTGATATTGGGCCTTTAGCATGTTGGGATGAAGGGCTACCAAGTTTGTTCAAATGAATTACCTTGACCCAATTTCAACCTTATGTCCTTGTTCGACATTCACGGTCACAGGCGTCATATGTTTAAATCTTTTAATAGGTTCTTATGAATCAAACACCGATATTCTGCCTGTAGCTGTATTTTAGTCAACTTTTATGATTACAATTGTGAGATGAATACCAGGTGAGCGATTCAGGCCCATTGGGCCTCTTGTTGTGTCACAGAAAGTTAAACATAGCCTTTGTTACATCAGATGAACAGAAAATAATGGTCGCTTGTCACATTTGAAAGATACAGACTCACTTTGTGTACAGGTCAGTTCGGAGAAATTAAAGGGATGCTGAATGTGAAGGTCACTTAAGATGGGTGATCGCCTTATACAGGTCGTCGGTAGAACATGTACATTAAACCAAATACAGGTTGTCACCAGAATGCCACCTTCTGAAGAACTAGGAAATCAAGTGTCTCGATCCTTGGCATGGTAGATCTAGATCACATCCATATGTTAGAACTAATTACCTTAAATGAATTACATATATGTATTAAAATTATAATGAAAGAATAAACATTTTAAAAGCGATTTAAGTTTATAGGATGGTTAAAAGAAAATGTCAGTAATTTCACAAACGAAAATTTACTTGTACACACACAAATTAACCAGTGCAAACATATCACTTAAATATATGTTCTCAGGAGTTGAAGTTTTAATTTCAAGGATTTTTTTTTTATTATAATAAACTTGAATGCAGTTTTGCAGTTTGTGGGTAAATCCCAGTAGGAGTAGACAGCACACGTTTGTATAGGCTGTGAATTGTGTGTGCATTGCTGTTCAAGTAATTACCCTCAACAAAAAGTCTGTTGGCTTTGATATGTCTATGTACAAACAGGTTTTATTTATCAAAGCCATGCTTGTTGCATGTACCTATAATGTTAATTTGAATAGAAAAGTGTGTGAGTCACACATGATATATGGGAAAATCAATAGGGAGTTCACTGGGCCAGGTGAAATAAAAAATATAGCCTCTGCCTCAGGTACCATCAGACTGAACCACAAAATGTTTCAATCAGTCTTTCTTATGCCACTCAGACCTGTTTGAAGACCTGCGTTTTCATTAACAACTGGACAAGAGTTTAAATATAGGGGCTGGTACATGTATATATGTATATAGCAAGCTAACTTAAGTAACATATAATCTACGCAGTAGTTTGCATGGTGATAGCTTGTAAACAACACGTTTACTTTACAACCGCCTTTCTTAGTCTACCAATCAGCAACTACATTAAGATTTACTGTAAAACATCTTATTACTCCTCGCCTCTAAAACAGTAGTTTTATGTTATTAGATTGGATCAGCCAACTGATTAGAGGAGAAATGCTCAATACGTAAGGTAGAAAGTGAGGTCGGTGATCATATAGTCTCACAACCAGATTAAATCGAATTCCCAGCTACTAGAAGCCTTAAAAGTCTCTCCAGTTATCTCCCCCTTAAATTACCAGCAGAGGCGATTAGAGCTAGGTGTTCCAAGAACATACGGAACAGTACAATCTGTCATACAGAGTTTTAAAATGTATTTGGCTGTATAGTGTGACAGTACTGTACGTGACTTTTCTAAATAATCTGAAACTTACTATAGCAAAGAAAAGCACTAGCGTAGCTTGGTATCATTAATTCTGTATCCTGTATCCATGGATTTATGTTAAGCAGAAATCGTGCTTAAATTATCCCTGAACTTCATTATGCCAAACTTCTTTGGTAAAGAAGGCAAACATGGTATTATAATTATTGTTTGTTCTTCTGTAATTGATGTTCTATTTAACAAAAAAATAATATAAAAAGTTATAACAATTACATATAGTGTATATATTTACGATTTTGATAAATTTAACAAAGAAGTGGTTCCTTTGTCAAGCTATGAGTGAAAATTCCTGTTGACAAACTTGTATGTGTCCCCAGAGTTTACCTGATATTGTCATTTCATGTGCTGCTGGAATGGAGGACAGTTTGGCCACAAATTTATCGTTTATTGTTGATACATGACAAGTCTTTTAATGTGTATAAGTCCCCTGGTTGGGATAATAACTGGTCCTGTCGATGACTGAATTTTTGTAGATATAACTTTTCGTTTGATATATCACCAAACTAATGGATGTTATTCAATATGTTTAGTGGGATATTGGATCAAATGTATTGATGATGTTTCCTTATTTCTTTCCAGGAATCAAATGCCCAGTATGTTCCAAGTTTATACCGCCTGATGACATAGAATGTCACCTTGTCATCTGTCTCACAAAGCCTCGCATCAGTTACAACGGTCAGTATACACGATATTATGACCTCTGGTCAAAATGGTCCGGTCAATTCTTCCATGTCTGTTGTTTAACTCATTCACCCCTGAAGACACATTTGAACTCTTCCAATACAAAGGTTTGAATAGTTCATGATGAAAATTTCAGGGGTGAATGAGCTAAATATTATTGATGTCACTCACAAAAATTTTAAAAAGTTAGTTCATACAAAAATTCATCCTTATAAGTGAGCACTTGGAAAATTTAAGCTTGTAAAATTTTATTAAAGCGCTGTATACCGGGAAATTTTTGACCATTCAAACTTTCGTCCTTCGCCAGAACAATCCATATTTGCAGTGTTAATTTTGCCCTTTAAATATAAAGTTTTAATAAGATATAAGTAACATAAAAATTGTTAGCAGCGTTGCCACAAACAACGTTATACTATGTTTATCCTAGATCATGGGTTCGTATCCCACCGCTGCCACCACGCTTGTATTAGATTGCAAATGCCTAAACAAAATCACAACACAGGTTTTGTAGATGTGGCACATTTATACGTGGACAGTAATCTGTAAGTATATAGTCAACACAATCTATGGCGCAAACCTAAAGTGAGACAACAAAATTAAAAAACTTAGCATATAGCTTAGCGTATTCAGATTATTCCTGGTAATTGATATAATTCTGCATTGGTAGCTATAATATTAACCAATTCCAATTGAGGATCAGTTGTGAATTTGTAACTGATGTTCCGTCACTGTTATAGATTGATACATCAATGAATTGTTCCAGGTCAGGTTTGGTAGAATACGGATCAATATGGTTTGTTGTGTATGTATGTAGAGGTTAACACCTCCACACCGACCCGTGCTGTGATTGAACTATAAAATATGTATGTAGTGTATATACTGTATGAAGTGTTAACTGAGATTTATTGTACACTTCCTTGTATATAAAGTACACAACAATCAAACAGCTCATTGCAAATATTTATAAACAGTAAACAGGGATGTGGTTCACTCTTCTAACTCTTAACCCTTTCAACACCGTAGACCATAATGGGCTCATCCAGATCAATTTATGGTAGAGGTTATTAAGGTTACATAGGGGTGAAAGGGTTAAGTTGGTATTTTTTAACAGCATTTTAAAGTACTTAGCAATATCTTCTTCATCTAAACGTTTATCGAATGTGACGTGAAACTTCAGCACAATGTTAGGTCCTTTGTGTAGCACATATCCTATGATACAACCAAAGTATTGTGAGTGTCCTGTTTCCTGACTTGTAGCTGGTAGCATCAAACTAACATAACCTTGAAATTTTGTAAATTTGAAATTTGAAATAGAAATGTCAGAACACACACCTACTGATCACTATAGGTCCTGTTTACCTGTCTACAGACAAACAGATAGTCTGTACAGTGGCTGACTGTTAGAACACACACCTACTGACTATAGGTCCTGTTAACCTGTCTACAGACCGACAGATAGTCAGTAGGTGTGTGTTCTGACAGTCAGGCACTGTACAGACTATCTGTCTGTCTGTAGACAAATAAAAAGGACCTATAGTCAGTAGGTGTGTGTTCTCACAGTCAGCCACTGTACAGACTATCTGTCTGTCTGGAGACAGGTAAACAGGACCTATAGTCAGTAGTTGTGTGTTCTAACAGTCAGCCACTTTACAGACTATCTGTTTGTCTGTAGACAGGTAAACAGGACCTGTAGACAGGTAAACAGGACCTATAGTCCGTAGGTGTGTGTTCTAACAGTCAGCCACTGTACAGACTATCTGTTTGTCTGTAGACAGGTAAACCGGACCTATAGTGATCAGTAGGTGTGTGTTCTGACATTTCTATTTAAAATTTCAAATTTACAAAATTTCAAGGTTATTTTAGTTTGATGCTTCCAGCTACAAGTCAGGAAACAGGACACTCACAATACTTTGGTTGTATCATAGGATATGTGCTACACAAAGGACCTAACATTGTGCTGAAGTTTCACGTCACATTCGATAAACGTTTAGATGAAGAAGATATTGCTAAGTACTTTAAAATGCTGTTAAAAAATACCAACTTAACCCTTTCACCCCTATCTGTAGACAGGTTAACAGGACCTATAGTCAGTAGGTGTGTGTTGTAACAGTCAGCCACTGTACAGACTATCTGTCTGTCTGTCTGTAGACAGGTGAACAGGACCTATAGTCAGTAGGCGTGTGTTCTAACAGTCAGCCACTTTACAGACTATCTGTTTGTCTGTAGACAAGTCAGTAGGTGTGTGTTCTGACAGTCAGCCTCTGTACAGACTATCTGTCTGTCTGTAGACAAATAGTCTGTAAAGTGGCTGACTGTTAGAACACACACCTACTGCCTATAGGTCCTGTTTACCTGTCTACAGACAGACAGAGAGTCTGTACAGTGGCTGACTGTCAGAACACACCCCTACTGACTATAAGTCCTGTTTACCTGTCTACAGACAGACAGACAGATAGTCTGTACAGTGGCTGACTGTGAGAACACACACCTACTGACTATAGGTCCTGTTAACCTGTCTACAGACCGACAGATAGTCAGTAGGTGTGTGTTCTGACAGTCAGCCTCTGTACAGACTATCTGTCTGTCTGTAGACAAATAAAAAGGACCTATAGTCAGTAGGAGTGTGTTCTAACAGTCAGCCACTTTACAGACTATTTGTCTACAGACAGACAGATAGTCTGTACAGTGTCTGACTGTTAGAACACACACCTACTGACTAAACACACCTACTGATCACTATAGGTCCTGTTTACCTGTCTACAGAAAGACAGATAGTCGGTACAGTGTTTGACTGTTAGAACACACACCAACTGACTATAGGTCCTGTTTACCTGTCTTCAGATAAACAGATAGTTTGTACAGTGGCTGACTGTTAGAACACACACCTACTGACTATAGGTCCTGTTTACCTGTCTACAGAAAGACAGATAGTCGGTACAGTGGCTGACTGTTAGAACACACACCTACTGACTATAGGTCCTGTTTGCCTGTCTACAGACAGACAGATAGTCTGTACAGTGGGCGACTGTCAGAACACACACCTACTGACTATAGGTCCTGATAACCTGTCTACAGACAGACAGATAGTCTGTACTGTGGGTGACTGTCAGAACACACACCTACTGAGTATAGGTCCTGTTTACCTGTCTACAGACAGACAGATAGTCGGTACAGTGGCTGACTGTCAGAACACACACCTACTGACTATAGGTCCTGTTAACCTGTCAACAGACAGACAGATAGTCTGTACAGTGCCTGACTGTTAGAACACACACCAACTGACTATAGGTCCTGTTTACCTGTCTTCAGATAAACAGATAGTCTGTACAGTGGCTGACTGTTAGAACACACACCTACTGACTGTAGGTCCTGTTTACCTGTCTACAGACAGACAGACAGATAGTCTGTACAGTGGCTGACTGTCGAACACACACCTACTGACTATAGGTCCTGTTTGCCTGTCTACAGACAGACAGATAGTCTGTACAGTGCCTGACTGTTAGAACACACACCAACTGACTATAGGTCCTGTTTACCTGTCTTCAGATAAACAGATAGTTTTACAGACAGACAGATAGTCGGTACAGTGGCTGACTCTCAGAATACACACCTACTGACTATAAGTCCTGTTTACCTGTCTACAGACAGACAGATAGTCGGTACAGTGCCTGACTGTCAGAACACACACCTACTGACTATAGGTCCTGTTTGCCTGTCTACAGACAGACAGATAGTCTGTACAGTGCCTGACTGTTAGAACACACACCAACTGACTATAGGTCCTGTTTACCTGTCTACAGAAAGACAGATAGTCGGTACAGTGTCTGACTGTTAGAACACACACCTACGGACTATAGGTCCTGTTTACCTGTCTACAGACAGACAGATAGTTGGTACGGTGGCTGACTGTCAGAACACACACCTACTGACTATAGGTCCTGTTCACCTGTCTACAGACAGACAGACAGATAGTCGGTACAGTGGCTGACTCTCAGAACACACACCTACTGACTATAAGTCCTGTTTACCTGTCTACAGACAGACAGATAGTTGGTACAGCGGCTGACTGTCAGAACACACACCTACTGACTATAGGTCCTGTTTACCTGTCTACAGACAGACAGACAGATAGACTGTACAGTGGGGGACTGTCAGAATACAAACCTACTGACTATAGGTCATGTTCACCTGTCTACAGACAAACAGAGAGTCGGTACAGTGGCTGACTGTCAGAACACACGCCTACTGACTATAGGTCCTGTTTACCTGTCTACAGACAGACAGACAGATAGTCTGTACAGTGGGTGACTGTCAGAATACACACCTACTGACTATAGGTCATGTTCACCTGTCTACAGACAAACAGAGAGTCGGTACAGTGGCTGACTGTCAGAACACACACCTACTGACTATAGGTCCTGTTTACCTGTCTACAGACAAACAGAGTCGGTACAGTGGCTGACTGTCAGAACACACACCTGCTGATCGGCCTGTTTTTCAGTCTGCCGGCTAATGAGGTCAGGATGTGGGTGGGTGTTGGCTGCCTAAGAGCTGCTAGACACTGTACAGTCATTAACAATTACTCCAATTAGTCCTACATAATCGTGTGTAATTCCTTTTCTCTGGCCTTTTTCATGTTAACTTGTTTGCTTATTGTACTTATAAATTAAGTCAGTTTGTGACAACTACTAGTAAATATAACTCGCATTTCTGTTGTCTTACTTACCACCAATGTACAGACAATCGTGAAGGGAACCATGACCTTCACATGTCTTGACCTTTTCTTAATTAGGTCAGAGAGAATGACCTTCTATTAAAGTCGCACGAGTCATATCTGTTAAAATTTTCTGTAGATAATGGCATTAAGTTAATTTCTACTAGTTACTTTTTTTTAAGTTTAATGAATGCCCCTGGGTCTAAAAAAGATAATATCGAAGTACAGTACACTCTGTTTAGAACATCACAATCTCCAGTGTACCAGCATAATATGAATTCTCTATATCTTTCATGAATATTGATTGTACTCATATGAAATATATATACAGTACACACTTGCTGGAGACTATAATTATGTCCTTTTGTATCTGTTTCTATTGTAAAAGAACTGATCATCTGTATCTGTGTCAACCTGTCGGACAAGATATATACACACAGTGATGCGCCTTTACTAACAGCTAGCTAGAATTACTAGTAACTGTAATTTGTACTGCGTTCGTAAGTACATATGTATAGTGATAAGTACATAGTGAGGTAGATACTGACTGATGGAAATGGTTCTGATGTGATGTAATACCTTAAAAACCATATTATAAAAGTTATAGACCTGTATGGCATAAAAGTGCTCGTATATCAGCGGTTCAACTTAATCCAACAGTTTTCTCACCTGGAGATCAAGCCAGGGTGAAAATGAGGTCATCTGGGAGATTTTATCTATGATGTTGTATAGTAATCTATACATAACCATATGTGTGAATGTTTATCTGTTTTGCGCTGAACAATAAACTGATATGAACAGATTTTTTTTCAATGTTCCTGTTCGTATGAATGCAAATAGCGGTTACATTCATTTTGTATGAAAAGCCCACATGGATGAAATCAATTTTTGTCCATACCAGCATAAATATTACAAAAAAAATCTGTTCAATATGTATATTTACATTCTGTATCGGTAATTAGCTATTATTGATCTGACTCTGAAGATTTCCATAACATTTGCATCACTGAAGTGTCTATATATCATCAGTGGTATTCCTGGAACAGCCTAATTGTACATTATCGAAATGTATAAAAAATCGATTTTTAAAATTGGTTCAGGTTATTCGTAGTGGGAAGAAAAGCGTCAAAAAGACATTGATCCAACTTCATTCATGGCCCTATGCATGCAATGTCTTTTGAAAGTGGAAATGTTAATACATATATGTATGAGTGATGTTTGTCGTTTACAGAGGATGTACTGACAGAGGACAAGGGTGAATGTGTGATATGTCTGGACGACCTGGAGAAGGGCGACACTATTGCTCGGCTACCATGTCTATGTATATACCATAAAGGGTAAGTATCACCACAGACACGAAATGGACGGGACAACAGGGACAATAGTACTCCGATTCCAGGTTTACCGTACGTTTCCCTATTGTACCCCTTGTCAGCCCCAGAATCAAGTATCGGGGTATGATATGGCAAAACCCCAATATTGTTTTCTATTATCATATATTTATGCTTTAGAGGTACCTGTATTCCAAATGGGTATGGTAAAGGGTAGTAGTACCTGTCAGAGCTGATACAAACCTAGGAAACCTATAAATATCAGCCTTTATTAGTGATGGGCAATCGGTTTAAAATCATAATCGATAATCAGTAATAAACCGATTGATGATCGATTGCATATATAATCGGTTCATAATTTTAAGGGACTGAACATCCAAATAAACATCAATAGGCAGAGTTGTTAACTAGGTTTTGTTCTTTTATAATAAATGGATTTCAAACAACTTTTATGCAGTTTTATTGATCATATAGTAAAATTTATTTGAATATATGACTTTTACTATTTTTTTACTATGAAAAACATTGAACACTTTGATTTTAATGAAAAACTGATTATATATCGATAATGGAATTTGTAATCAATAATCGGAATCGGAAAGGACAAACCAATCGATATTTGATTATAATCAATCATCAGCCCATCACGATCACTAGCCTTTATAACATCTAATAAGTGAAATGTTTATACCACACAGGGTACAGATGTAGGTACATGTAACGTAGTAAATTCAGACCTGTGGTGTGTGGTTGATAAATCAGAGTCCAGTGGAGAGTACAGAAATGGTGTATGTGCCATGTGTTTCTATGAACAAACACCTTTATCAAGAACTCTGATAACTCAAATACTCAGCTATCTCAATTATTGGATATCTCAAATTCTCGGTTTGTCACAAAGTCATGTCTGTTTGTTGTGTGAAGGCGTGTTTACCTCTGATTTAAATACTTTGTTGCACTCGAGATTAATTTTTTTTCGAGGTAGAAACTTGGATTGTAACGCAGTGGAACAGAGATCCATTAGCTGCTCGACAAGCCTAGATCAGTGATATCAAGCCTAGATCAGTGATATCAAGCCTAGATCAGTGATATCAAGATTAATAGAATACATATATTCACAACCCATCTTACAATTGTCAAATATGAAATGAAAAAATGTGAATACCAGGATTTTTTTTTTTTTTAAGTCTACAATTAATGTATGTGGCCACATTGTAGTCCTTGCTTAAATGTTCTTTAAGTTTCCTCGGTTGTAGCATTTCTTTGATAAATCATTGAAGACTTGTCTTTCTTGTTTTTCAGATGCATCGATAAGTGGTTTGAGAAGAACAGATCTTGTCCAGAACACCCGGCAGACTAACACAAGGGAGGGGGGGCATATAGTTCACACATCATCATTTCATCATCATATGGTTATTTTATTGGGCTTTCAATGGACTTTAGAAACACATAACTTATGTTTTTGTATATTTTTTCTTTCTTTTGTGTTTTTGTGTCTGAACTTGATGCACATACTTGCTGTGCAGTTTACTGTGAGGTAGAATGATATACCTATTGTTGACTGAGGAAAATCATTGACTATCTGTCCAGTCAAACATCATCGCCATTTACTATATATCTTATCACCCTATATTAAACTATATATGTACCGAAAGCTTCATTGTTGTAGTGAGCTCATCCAATTTGACTATCTTCTCAGGATCAATCACAAGCATTTTGATTTGCACTCTTTTTAGTTTGAAAAAATGCATTATTGGATCTTAAATATACGGGGCTGTGGAAAGTGCCCAGGAAGGGAGATAACTCTGAGGCTTCAGATTCTGAAGAGGAGGATGGAGATGATACAGAAAGAGGATCATTGGACCTCAGCCTTGGCTAAAAGAATACCTGCTCAAACATTCTGTGTCTGTTTGTTTACTCATCCTTGCTGTAGGTGTGGTAGTGGTATACCTTTTACTGGTGGACACATTTGTACGTGGCGTAATGAAAATGTTCGCCATTCATGTAGGCCTGCAGATTAGATCAGTGCTGATGCAGTAGAAAAGATATTTTACAGAAAAAAGAGAATGTGAAATTTTAATGTTTTCATTAATCTGAGTGTAAAGTCTGTCTTTTCTCCTAGACAGAATTTGGCATGAAAGGAATGCTTTATTATTAATTTAAAAAAAACAACAAAAAAACAGGTAATTTTAATAGGTGAATATCAATATTTCACAAAGCAAATAACGGTAAGGCTGCATGTAAACATTCAACAGTGATTCAGAGTTGGATCAAGGACAGTACAAGTGTATTTGGTTGTTAACCCATGTAGACCCTGATTGTAATGTCGGCCTGTCTAGTCAGTTAAAGTGGACCAGTTGGATGTCCACCACAGGTATACATAGCACTGCGGCCCAGCACAACCACTTGTATTGAGGTGAACTTATTGAATTAAAGGGAGCTAACTGTAGATTTTTTCGTGATTACAAATCTGGTCAGATACACTGAATTTGATCAAGTGAAAATGTTGATTTTAATCTGATTGATCTGGTTTGGTTTGTGCTGTATATGCTACAGAAAATCATTTGTTTATAAAAAAAAAGGAAATCTGCATGAAATCGGAAGTATTTTTTTTTCAGATGGAAGTTTTGTTACTTAGGTAACTGAAAACCAAACAAATTCTCATAGTATGACTAAAATTTCTTGATGTCTGTGTAGTCGGTTATAGCTGGCAGACTGCAGAAGAAATAAAATGTTGACATTATATGTCTTTATATTCTTACCTGAAATGGGTTTTTTTTAGTTTGTTGGTTTTCTGCAATTATACCATTCACACATTATCATTGTTTTTCACGACATACAAAACTGACAAGGTGTTACGTACTTGTGATAGTTGACATAATGTATTCATACAAGGTACCCAAAAGAGACTGTTGGGAAAGAATTTGTCTCAAAGATTATACAACAAAATGGTCACAAGATCATCAGGTTTGTTTTCATACCTACTGTAAAAGGCATACAATTTTTGGCCTCACGTGTAGCTTGTTAATTTACCTGACCCCATGGTATAAACCTGACCCCATCTTTTGAATGATTTATAATCGGACTACAGAAATGTTCACCTAATGTATTACCTACATGTCTGCATGTTGATACATGGCATCTTTCAAACCTGAGACTACAACTCCTTATTCACTCTATCTAGTGTTAGCATTGTTACCGATCTGGAAAAAATATCTTGCACAATATTTTCATTTTGGGCGAAGTTTTGCAAAGTGCATTTCATTAAATCATTTCATCCAGAAAAACCACAATGGACAAAAACCACAATGGACAACAAGATAAAATAATGTGAATTTGTGTTAAACATTGTCAAACAATGCTTACGAATTCAGCAGGGAATCATGGGATAATAAACAGGTTTTATTGCGAGTAGACTATTGAATGAATGCAAGAAGCCTTTTACACGGTATCGGGAAAACAACGAGGCCTTGTCAGTTTTGTATGTCCTCAATCATTGTATGACCGCCGTTACAGTGTACGTTTTTTTTTACTACTGGGTGTATTGTATGTGATCGTACCAAAACACCTTTGCATATCATTTAAGTAGCTTGGAATACAGATATTTCATAGCACTCTGGGGGTGCCAAAGAAACCGCGATGACTTGAGAGATTTGTTGTTTAAAAATTGATCCAATGATTACGGATCAGGAGTGCAATTTGTAATGACAAGTTGTAACTGTATAGTGCAATGATGACCATTTAGTGATACAGATTAAGTAGGACTTCGACGTTATTGCACGTGTATGTAATATATATTATCCTTTATTTATTCTTTATGCTCTACTCTGTTCTTGGTTTCCTCGCTTAATTTTCTATCTGTGAAAACAGATCATTGGTTGTATCAGTCTGTATGGTATGATCAGCTCAGCAACCCGACTACCAGAACGTCACTGTCTTATACTGTTATACTGGGTGTACATTAAAATGTCTTTAGCGAGATGTACAACTTTTTTAAGTGAAAACCCTTGATATTTGTACATTCACATATTGAACAGTGCTTGAAACAAATTGATGTTTACTTGTATTATCAGAGAGAGAGAGAAATTGAAAAATATGTTTTAACAGTGAAAATTGCTCTTGTAGAAATTAAAAATGTTTTTGAGGGAGAAAAAAAGAAAAGGTAACCATTTTTGACCTAATAAATACCCTTGACACTTTGCCTTTTCCCAAAATAATAATTGCGGACCATTCAAAATCTCACAATAATAGTTATAATTCTATGTAGAAATAAAGCTGAGGGGAAACTTAATTCAGAGTAGTATGAGGTGAAACTTTTACAACTTCTGGTCATTCTAACACTGTATAAGTCGTAACACGGCCCTATTAAATGCCCTCTTCAGTGTCGAACTGAAGCTGAAACTCACAAGCGACCTATGTACTTGTGCCCACGAACAGTGGATCTGGTTACTTCGTTTATGAAGGACATTATTTTTACCACAAAACTTTATTTCAAATTCTATTGTTCAGTTCTGAATAGAGAAATCTCCATAAAATCACACAAATTACGTAGATTTATAAAGAAATGGAGAAGGACAAGTTTGAGATTTTCTCAACATCAGATAAAAGAAGCATAGTTACATAGTTACGTATGTTTACATAGCTTAGCAGTGTTAAGTTGACCAGACTTTGTATAGTCAGCCTACACTTCAACAGTGCTAATCTTGAGTAGTTAATTACACCAATGATCCGTTACCTAGATTTGTGGCCAAGTTGCTTTGTCCAAGTAGTTTCCAGCAGACCCCGGAACAATCTATATCACATAGAGTATTTATCAGCATTTGATAATAATTTGGGTAAATATGTCTTCGGTCATACTCTCCCTCAAAAAGTCATTTTCAGTGAAGTGTTGTTTTCTTTGTGGTGGGTTCAATGCCATAAAACTGTTGAAGTAGGACGAGCATGCAGCGTTTTATAAAAATTCAGCATATCTGCTGCAAAATTGGTCAACCTGTAAACAGATTTGTTCCCATTATATTTGGCGGGAAATCGGGCAGATGTCGGTCGAGATACCTTCCATCGACCTACAAAACTGATCACCTTATCGTTTTGAAATGAAGCATTCAATTTAGAAGAGAATCTGCGGATGTAACTGTTGCAGACTTGGACAGATATAGGAAGTTTAGGAGTAACTTGGTCATGTTTGTTTTGTTTCCTCACTGTCATAGCTGTTCATAATGTATATTTTTGCAAAAGTAAAAATACTATTATCAGGTACAGATATTTTGTGTTGTTTTAAAAAACCTACTTGTACAATCAAAAATATCACTATGTACAATATCTACTGTAAGTTATTATAATTTATAAAGTGTGATGTTTTCTTCTATCTATAATCTGCCTGGTAGGCTTTTTTTGCTTTGTAGAATTTCAGACTTTGACATTGTTAAAATATATTTTTTTTATTTAAGATGACATAATTTTTCTCAAGATGACTGAACAATCTCGGGGTTTCTCTCAGTCGCGTTGTGTATGTCATATATACTTATTTTTCACATTTCTCCATGTCCCTCTGTGAATGGGGTATTCTATTTTAATAAGTAAGTGCTTTTGATATTAGCATTCCAGACTAAGGTAGCCCTGTACTGGGAACAAACTTTTAAGAGTTGCACATCTTTACAATATCGGGCATAAAGATTTCATACGAATATTTTAAGATAAAAAACTATGATTTTGATGTGTTTTCTGTTTTATCTGATGTTTTATAGGGTTTGGATCAGAAAATATCTGAACACCATGATTTAATCTGTAGGTTCAGTGTATATTTTATATTTTCTACACTATATATATATATCAAAACTATTGCTTAATAGAAGATTTTATAAGATCATGAAAAGGTCACGTCTAATCTAAGAAGACTGGATTAATTAACTCATTTACCCCTGTAGTTTCATAATGAACTAGACCAGCCTTTGAACTGGAAGAGCTCAAATGTGTCTTCAGGGTTGAATGAGTTCAAACTCTTGATAGAACTGTTGATTCCTGATATTGTGGAGATGTTCGTATAATGATTCCAATATTTCTCATTTGTGGCGTAAGATTTTATTATGTCATATTTTATACAACCATACTCTAGATTCAACTTTCGTGAAAATGTGTGGCATTCTCATTTTTCCTGAGGTTTATATTTTAGCAAGAGTCAGTTGTGAATTTAAATATGTATAACAAATATTTATTCAAGCACGGTGAATAAGTGGCTTATATCTGCTTTGGATTCTTTTATGACGATTTTGAACCCTTTTGAAGGTTTGAGATAAACTCGCAAAACACACAGTAATTCACAGTACCAGTTACATACATAAATAACAAGACCAAATATGGTCGGTCTTTAACTTTCCTTATATAACGACATTAAACTTGTTTCAGCATCAGCTTTTCATCATGTAAATGTGATATATTAACTAACAAGATAAATATCTGAATATTGCTTTACAATTTTGAGATAAAGTCATGTTTAGAGGAATATTTACTATGCTTTTACTGAAATGCCCTAAAGCTTATATACCGATTGCTTATATAAATTGTTTCGTAGTTGCTTTATAAACGAAGAAAAATTGAAGTGTGTGTATTGACTAGATGTTTAGCCTACAGCACACACTTACTGAAGCACTAGTCTGGGTAAGGTGTACCAACGTATAGAGTTTTCAGATGTAAAACAAGCAATAGACGAAACTGTACAATGTAAAAATATTGCGTAATAAAATTGTGAAGAGTATAATTGAGCAAGTCTTTTGTCTTTCTGCTTTCAATTTCAACTTGACAACAACTATGTATTAAGTTCACCTAACTTACTACCGTTACACTTTAATGAAGGAATGTAGTTGTGTGTTTATCGAATGAAAAATGAACAACAATTGATCATATAAAGAATTTATTAAAATATTTGGAAAATGTCTCCACAGGGAGGCCGTTTCGTCTTCGAAATCGTTTCAGTGGTGAAACAGTTTTCAAGACTGAAGACATAATAGCAGGCACAACACCCCAACGAATTCAAGGACAGTCGCATTTAAAAAAATATCTGTCAAATGTAAAGTTTGATATGTATGTTATTGCATATAACAAGAAATTGTACATTTGTATAAGATATTGCAACAGTTTAGTGAAAAAAATATGGGTCATAATAATTGAATGTGTGAATGCATCTTGGGGTAAAGGATGCCAACAAGTAAAACGTAAAACTGTATCATCACTTATATAAAATATACAGATACAATGCTGTACAATATGACATTTTATGAAGATAATGATACATTTAAAACAAATTGTGGTCTTGACAAATTTATTGAAAATTAATTGAACTCTAATTTGACCTTTGACCCCGAGATGATCTAAATACAATGTACTCTTCACTTTTCAAAGGCTGTTACCAGCAGTATGTTTCTATTTCATGAAAATATCTTTAACGGTTAAAACTTGTGGCACGGACAAAGTTTTACAAAAAAAATTAATCACATAATGTATCCTTCGACCTTGTGTATGATTAAATTACAGTACGCTGAACATTTTCTGTGGGTGAATTACCAGTTTGCTTTAGTTTCATAAAGAAATCTCCATGTATATGGTTAAAAAATTATGATCTGGACTCTGGACAAAGTTTCTTGAAAATTATGAATGTATAACCTTCGACTGTAAGCGCTAGAGGTGACGGTCCCAAAGTGCTAGAGTGACAGGTAAGATGGCAAACCCTCTGTGGCTGTCTCAAGTACACATCTAATTGCATATAGATATCATTACTGGTAATAAAAACCTGTGGCCAAGACAAACTTTTCTCGGCTTTTAAGGACAAGAACCAGAAGACTAAAGGCACCATATGATTAATATATTTATTATCTTCCTTGGAACAATTTCAAGGGAAGAAAAAACAAGCAGGCACTGATGTATCAAATCATATTGACAATTTACATTGACACAATATTTTCTATATAAGAATTTCATAAGTGTTAATAATAAAACAGTTATATCAAAATCACATAAAACAAGAGGCCCAATGGGCCTGCATCGCTCACCTGTTATTAATCTAACACTTGTAATCTTAAGATTTCATAAGAACCTATTAAAAGATTTAAACATATGACGCCTCTGACCTTGATTGTCGAACAAGGACATTAGGTTGAAAGTGGATCAAGGTCATTCATTTGAACTAACATGGTAATCCTTCATCCCAGCATGCTACAGGCCCAATTTCAGTACCCTGGCCCTTTTGCTTATTGAAAAGAAGTCGCTTGAAGATTTTACGACATTTGACCCCTGTGACCTTGAAAGTTGGTCAAGGTCATTCAGTTGAACAAACTTGATAGTCCTTCATCCCAGCATGCTACAGGCCCAATATCAGTACCCTGGGCCTTTTGGTTATTGAGAAGAAGTTGTTTGAAGATTTTAAGACATCTGACCCCAGTGACCTTGAAAGTGGGTCAATGTCATTCATTTAAACAAACTTGGTAGCCCTTCATCCCAGCATGCTACAGGCCCAATATCAGTACCCTGGGCCTTTTGGTTATTGAGAAGAAGTCGTTTGAAGATTTTATGACATTTGACCCCTTTGACCTTTGAAAGTTGGTCAAGGTCATTCATTTGAACTAACTTGGTAATCCTTCATCCCAG